GGGGGCGGGGCGTGGGTGACGTGGGGGCGGGGCCTGGGAATGGGGCGGGTTGGGCAGTTCCCATTTGAAATCGCCCATGGTGGCTCCTCTAACTCTGTGTTCATCACTTCTTGGCCCTGCGTGCATATTCAAGCTTGCCTTTAATGAGAATATTGTCCTCCACGGTTTGTGTCTGTAATCCCATGATTGAAGCCTGTGTCTGCCTTTTGTGATCGCAGCCTCTTTTCTCTCCTGGTCCTCTGTTTCCCTGTAGGTTTACTTGCAGTTTGACTCTGAACTACTCCTTTTGTATAGCTTTACGTGGGGACATTATTCAAAGCCTGAGGTAAAAGTGAGATTCTCCGGAAAGGATTTCCATTTTCTTCTTTCAAATGCCAGGAATGCTCCTAGTTCAGAAACCCTCTGAATTAAATCAGCAGCTTGAGTTTTGTTTGGTATTTTTGAAAAAGTGGTAGGAGTTAGGGTGAGGGCTTGTGCATGGTTCCAGATTCTTAGTGGCATTTGCAAAGAAGCGAATTTACCATCCAGTTGTTTCTGAAGAAAAATCGTAAGCCACAGGCATCACAATTGTGAAGAGGTAGAATCTGGATTAGCACATTTCAGATTGAAATTTATTACTGTGATAACCCTGTTATGTATGAGAATTCATGGACAAAATTATATTCCTTTATAGCCATGTGATTTGTGATTATTTGCAGGGTTGGTCAGATGGTATGAACATCTATAACTGATATCCTGCCCAGAATCCAGCGTTAAGTGTTGTTTTACCATTAAAGAGTATATTTCTACAAAAACTGACTTTGAAGTCCTTTTCAATACATATATAATGAAAAGTATTTGATTTTTATCCCAAGATATTTCCTTGTAAAATTGGCCTATGTTTTGTGTGTTAGTAAATGGGGAAGGAAACCTGTCAAGCACCTGCCACAGAAGCACCTGCCACAGAAACACCTGCCACAGAAGAACCTGCCACAGAAATACCTGCCACAGTCTGGAGCATTCCTGGGAGATATTACTCTTTCCCTTCCTGTGGAGCTAGGCGTTTCCTAACAGACCCTGCTACACCTCCAGTTTTGTAGAGAGAGTCTCCAGTCTCATGGTTTATTTAAAATGTTGTGGACATGTGGCAAATATATTGAGAAGACATTGAGATGTTTTCCTTCCCAGTGCTCTTCATGTTTCTGATGACTTTGTGGGAGGAAAGAGATGTCACCCACTGAAGAGGGAGAGGAGTTGGGGTCCATGTGGCAGATGGCCTGGTTATGTTGCATTTTCCATGCATGCTCACTGCTGTAAAATAGAGGGGCCATGTCTGCATGTGAAGTTCAACACGGAGAGTACATGGGGTTCCTTTTCTTCAGTTTTTTTTAGGTCAATGAGTATGAAATTGGAATTCAGACTTTGGGGATCAAAGCTCTGAAAAATGTGGCTGGATTTTCACTGAATTTTCACTGGTATTAGTAAAGTAAACTAGCACTGGAAATTTATATTCTGTAATTGCTAAGCCATTCAGCAGTTCAATTAATTTTCACCAGAACATAATACTCTAATTGTGTCACCAGCAAATGAACGTTGAAGTGAAGCCTGTTGATAGATTAGTGACCCGGGAGCCCCCTCCTCATAATAGTGGTTTCAAGATGGTGCATGAAAAAGAAACGCCAACAGATTTCTCCAATATCCAGTCATTATTCAGGCATTTCCTGCATTATCTGGAATACATTAATTTGAGACCCAGAGAACGTAATTTTTTTCTTTATAAAACAAAATATTATAATTACTTTTCGAGAAAATTAAAAGTGTCATAGAAAGCCTAGAACTAATATTTCCTTTGTGGAGAAAGCCATATTTACAACAAAATCGAAATCAGGGTGTTGTGCATGTGTGTGTGTGTGTGTGTGTGTGTGTGTGTGTGTGTGTGTGTGTGTGTTTAGGGGAGGGACCCCAGAGAATCTGAATGTTTAGGAATATTACCCTGTTTGCCTTAGAGCTTGTTGCTTAGACATGAGTGTGAATGTGCTATTTGAATCAAACCATCCTGGTTCTTCCTCACCCCAGCATTTTCTTCTCATCTCCCTGGCCACCTATTTGTACCCTGGGAACTAGCAGATGCCAGGAGAAAGAGGAAAAGTGGGTGAAGAGGAAGCTGCGATAGAGGAATGTTGGCGTTAGAGCCAGAGACTGGTGGAATTTAATCCTGGCTTTCCCTATCTGAGAAACATTTCACTAGTTCAATAACCTCTCCGAGACTTGGTTTCCTCATCAGTAAAGCGGCCTGGCTTAACACCCACTCTAAAGGACCGCTGGGAGAACAGAATGAATGCAGGACTGTGAAATGCCTGGCACTGGCTCTCTTGCGTGGTTTCTTCCCTTCCTGTGTTCTCTGGAAGTAGCCAGGAGGGAGCTTGCACCTAAGGGTCCCATCTCTGCTTCCCAGACCCACTCCCCGCCCACCTCAGGGCAACTCAAGCCCACCCAGCAGGCTTCTCTAAGCGCCCGGGTTAAAGACCTCAGGTGAGAGGCTCTCTGAGGAACTATGGTCCCTTTTTTCTGTTTATGTACGTTCTTGGGAGTGCAACACTGAAATAATAAATAGCATTTTGTGTTTTTGAAGGATCTTTTTATGTGTTAGTTTTTCTCTGTTACATTTTATTTTTTGTTTCCATGTAATGAAAACCAGATGTCTCATGTGAATGATTAATGTTCATTTGCAAATATGAAGTTTGGGAACTTAGAACCAATCTAAAATATTTATTTGGAAAATAGGTGGACTAGACTAAGCTGTCGAAGCGCGGATACAAGGGCCCATAAACGAGTGGAGAGGTGCAGGCTGGCTCAGCCAGGAGCCGTGCTGGTTTCACTCATACAGTTTTCAAACATTTGAGTTGGCTGCAACATTTTATAATTGGGAGAATTGATATAATAATATGAACTTTTGGTCTTCCTTGAAAAAAACAGAGGATTTGTCTGTTCAGAGGACTTGGTTGTAGCTGTGCGCGTCTCCACCATCTGGACCTGTGAGGCACTGTCCACCTCAGACAGAAAAGGACACTCCTGCTAGCCACAGCCGCACCAGTCCCTGAGACCACCCTGGGCGAGCGTCATCATTTGATGGGGACCTGCGTCTGTGCCTCTTGATTGGATGCTTGTTTCTTTCCCTTTTATTTACCAGTCTAAATTGACCCTTCTCTGACTATTGCTAAAACTATAAAAAATGATAATCTCAAATACATATATTTTAAAAATCAGGAATAAACCTTAATCTTGCATATAAATTTGAGGGTATTATTTATTACCCATTAAAACATTTTATTTTTGAGGAATATGAAAGTCCCCAAAGTCCCCAACAGTAAAAAAATTGTGTTAATGGGACTCAGACACATTTTATGGTGGAGCCTCTTTTCCAGTTTGAAATTTTGGCAAAAGGGGAAGTGTTGAATTTCTGGGAGCGAGGAGGGAGCAGGGGAGGTGCAGGGGAGCTGGAGGAGGGTCTGGGTTTCTGTTCCCACCTTAGCCTGTCGTGGGAACATTGATGAGCTCACAGTTCTGGGCCTTCAGTGATCTGCTTAGGAAATGCTGTTAATTAGATGATTTCTCAGGTTTCTCTTTAATAAGGGAAAGCAATGTCACTTAAGAGACACTTCAAAGGGGCAATGCTGATGGTGCCCAGTGTGAAAACTGTCCTACCACAGTAATGCTGCTGTATTCTGACGGGGGTTCTAACACCAGGAAGGTTTTAGATTCTAGTTCCAAACTGCTGTGGGGTTGTATCTATTAAGCCCGAAAAGGACACATCTCTAAAGAGTCTGAACTTTCTGTGTAACTATCTACCTTCTAATTATGTTTTCTTCTTTCTTCTTCTGCAGTTATGTTCATATAGTTCCCCGAAAACCTGCGAAGATAAGGAAGTTGAAGGAGGTAAGTGCTCGCTTCCAACAACCAATGATGGAATAAATCGGACAGCTTGGTAAAAATGGAAATGTCAGCGTAGAATAGTTGAAGTTTTACAGAAGCAGTGTTTAGCAGGGAATGCCTACAAGGACGCGCTGCTCTTGAAGTCAGAACAGGCTGTGCAAGCTTGTCATACGTGTCAAAGCACTTAAGTAACCAAGCGGTGGGAGGTAGTGAAGAGAGGCTCAGAGGAGATAGTCATCTTAGAGACACACCACACAATTAATTAAAGTCTTCACTTTCCTTTTGTTTCGGGGGGGTTTGGAAAGACAGGTATCAGGAAAAGTTATTTAGAGTTATGTAGTGCTGAAGCTAATTATAATGCTAAATTTAAAGATTTGTCGCAAGTTCTCAACCTTTTTATACTTGATAGACATTTATTAGGTCTACAGGACAGAACATCCCCTGACATTGTTTGTATCACTTGATTCTTAGTAAAAATAACCATTTAATTTGTTTAAAGAGACATGCTTTTTTGGTAAGCAATAAAACCACAGTTTTAAGCCAGATAGCCTGTTGATATTTAGAATTTAACGTATTTTTTACTTAAAAAATGGACTTACTTTGTGGAATATTACATGGGTGAATTATTTTGAGGGCATCTACTTCTCTAAGTTGTAATATTGCTGTTCGTACACTTCCTCACCTGTGTAGTGGAGATGATAATTGATACCTCAGAAGCTTGTTGTAAGGACTAAATGATAAAATATTCATAATGTGCCAGCACTAGGTAAGGGCTTCCCTGCCACATCTTACAGAAGGTGCTCTTCTCTGTGTCTTTGGAGTGCCACCCAGGGCTCCACGCGGGACACACCAGCAGCCCCAGCGCTGTTCACAAGCACCAGCTTCTGGAAGCGTTCAGCTGCTTTCTTGGAGTCTGCCCTTCAGGGCAGTTAAAATAAGTCAAATTTATTACTTTACTCACCTCAGGTTGTAACTTGCCAAGGGCACGAGGGCAAGTTTCCAATAAGACAGCAATTCTGGCAGTCACTGAATTTCAGGGCTCCCTGAATAAAGAGCGTGGAAATGATTTGTGGTCGTCCTGACACCTCTGTCCCTGCTTCCGCTCTCCGTGTGCGGCTGGGAGTGGGATTAAGTCACAATTCTGGAAATTACCCTCGAGAACATTTAGAGTGTGAGTCTCAGTTCATCCTTTAAATATTTCAGTGATTTAAATAAGATATGACTTAAAAGGCAGTATATCAGGATGGGGGAATTTCAGACTATCTTGTGAAAACTTGTTTTCTCATAGAGGAAGCCTTGGTCTACAGAAGCGAAACGCTGGGCAGGCAACGCCAGGATTTCCACACCCACGCAAGCCTTGTCCTCCTAGGGCGGGCACTGGGCTGCTCAGCACTCACTCTATGAGGCTACGTTACCCAAAAGAGTTTAAACATGTTTTATTTTTGAATTTCTACTTTGTTCTTTTAAAAAATGTGATTATAAAAGTAGTTCCCGTTGAGAGAAGTATCAAGAATACTGTGCAGAAAATTACAACTACAATGAGATACCATCTCATACCAGCCAGAATGGCTGTTTTAAAAATCATTTTATATATTTTTCTTCAACTTTTAAGTTCAGGGGCACATGTGCAGGGCGCGCAGGTTTGTTACACAGGTGAACATGTGCGATGGGGTTTGCTGCACGGATCATCCCATCACCAAGGTATTAAGCCCAGCACCCATTAACTGTGCTTCCTTATGCTCTCCTCCCCCCCACTACAGACACCAGTGTGTCCATGTGTTCTTATCATTCGGCGCCCGCTTGCAAGTGAGAACATGTGGTGTTTGGTTTTCTGTTCCTGCGTTAGTTTGCTGAGGATAATGGCTTCCAACTCCATCCATGTCCCTGCCAAGGACATGGCCTTACTCTCTTTTATGGCTTCATAGTATTCCATGGTGTATATGTACCACATTTTCTTTATTCAGTCTGTCATTGATGGACATTTAGGTTGGTTCCATGTCTTTTCTGTTGTGAATAGTGCTGCAGTGAACCTATGTGTGCACGTATCTTTATGACAAAATGATTTATATTCCCTTGGTTGTATACCCAGTAATGGGGTGGCTGGGCCAAACGGTATTTCTGCCTCTAGGTCTTTGAGGAACCACCAGGCTGTCTTCCACAATGGTAGAACTAATTTACCTCCCACCAACAGTGTAAAAGTGTTCTCTTTCTCCACAACCTTGCCAGCATCTGTTGTTTCTTGACTTTTTAATAACACCAAATGGCTATTTTTAAAAAGTCAAAAAACAGAAGTTGCTGGTGAGACCATGGAGAAAAGGGAATGCTTATACACTGTTGGTGGGAATGTAATTAATTTAGCCACTGTGCAGGGCCATTGGAAGTTTCTCAAAGAGCTTAAAACAGAACTACCATTTAAAAAGAAAAATAACCAAAAAGACACAGGCATTCATACATTAATTGCAGCGCTATTCACAATAGCAAAGTCATCGAATCAACTTGTGCTCATCAGTGGTGGATGGGTAAAGAAAACGTGGTACATATACACCATCAAATACTACACAGCCATAAAAGATCAAAATCGTGTCCTTTTCAGGAACATGGATGCAGCTGGAGCCATCATCCAAAGTGAATTAATGCAGGAACAGAAATGAAATACTGCATATTTTCACCTACGAGTGGGAGCTAAACAGTAGGTAGTCATGGGTGCAAGATGACAGCAGTAGACACTGGGGGCCACTATGAATAGGTGGGGGAGGGAGGCAACGGGGCAAGGGTTGAAAAATTAACTATTGGATACTATGCTCACTGCTTGGGTGACAGAATAAATTATACCCCAAACCTCAGCATATGCAATGTACTCATGTAACAAACCTGCACATGTACCCCCTGAATCTAAAAGTTGAAATTATTAAAAAATATACTGCACAGGAAAGCTCAATGAAGAGAATGAAAATAGTTACCAATAGATTACCAAAGATTACCGCTTTGCATTTTGTCATGTCTATTTCTGCTTTTCTATGCACAGGGAGCAAATATAGGTACACAAACACACATGTATGCACATACGTATAGACATATATGTTTCCAGAAACAGGATCCAATAGTACTCTTTTCTAATCTGCTTTTTATTTGCTATGTGCCATGACCATTTTCTAATTGTAAATGTCCTTTTGCAACACGATTTTTTAATGCCTGAAAACTATTCCACCATGTGAATTTATCGTAATTACCTAGCCCAACCTCTTTGAGCACACTTTGCCTTTTTGGTATTTTAAACAGTGATATAATGTAATGGACTCCTTGTAGAGACATGTTTGTCCACATTAATGATTATTTATAGAGAAGTAGAATTATCATGCATAATTTCAATGTCTTTACTATTTACTTCTGGACTGGCTCCCATAATATTTCTAAAAACTCACGTTGCTTGTGAGGATGGAGCAGTATCATGTCAGCGTGCATGGCCTGGACGTGCCTGATGCTCATGATCCGCCCCCGTTTTCTTTTGTGGAAGTAGTCGCCCCTAAAAAGGGTTTGCAACTATTATTGTTTGTTGTGTAAACGCTTGTCTTGGTGGGACAAGCATTTGCTTGGACACAGGTCAGAGGTGGACCCAACCCTGAATGAGTTGGAGCCATCACCGAGAGCTTTGGCCGACACACATGATTCACTCCAGGAACTCTGCTGAGCCTGGAGGGGACCGTAAGAGTAGCTGAGATTTAGAGCTGTGTCCTGCTGCCGCACACGAGGACACAGAGCCAGCCAGTCACAGGACCGAAGGCTGCCTGCCACTCCCAGTGGCGTCACTACTATTTACTAAACCACAGTTTTCCTGCCTTGTGGCTTATAGGCATGCACCTATGATCACAGAGACAGTACAAAACCTAATGAGCTAAAAGGCTTGTTGGCCAGTGCCATGGCTCACACTTGTAATCCCAGTACTTTGGGAGGCCAAGGTGGGAGATTTACTTGAGCCCAGGAATTCTAGATCAGCAAGACCCTATCTCTACAAAAAGTAAAAAAAAA